TGTATAAATAGGCCTATTTTGGCCTGTTTAATATAATTATCCTTTCGTTAAACGTTCGCCAGTCGTTAGCTTGGCGTCCCTCACTCCTCCCCGCAGCGATGACCATTGTTGCCATCCTAGCTAGCTTCCGCTCCTTTTCAACTTCGGGCTCGCTTCTTCCCATATCTTATCCTTACTTGGGGCGTTTTGGAGTGAGGGCTCCCAGTGGGAATTTATTACTGTTCTACCTTCCTGCTCTTTTATTTATTGAAAATTATAATAACCTGTTCAAAACACTGGAAATTAGTGCATTAATTGAGGATACTATTCATTGTTACCTGATGTTACCAAATTCACAATTTTTTCTTTCTGCGTTTGAAATGAATGTGCTCGAAGTTTACGAATATATAAAAAATGAAGTTTTGAATGATTTAAAACTAAACTTTAGCCTTGAAATGACGTTTTAATTTGTACTCATAACTTTTTATTGAAGTTCAATGGTCAGTAATACCGTACCAAACGTAAGGTGTTAAAGATATTTCATAAACACAAGAAAAATGTTGTTATATGTTTTCTTTTCCTAACAGTTCGTCAACTATTGGAGATTTCAGAAAATAATCTCGTGACAGATCACGTGACTTAAGACTATAGGTTAAACTATTTTGAATTTTGTTTCATTTCGATGCTCTTTGCAAACCCAACAATCCAGGCATTAAACTATTTGAACCGTGCAACAAACAAAGATTTATATCCATTTTGGATCTAAACCCTTTAATCAAGGCCTTTCTTCTTTCCCACGCACTTGCCATACCGCGAATGTGTTTGTAAAGTTTACATTGTCCTGAGTTTTGGTTTTAAAATTACAAGGTTACCCTCCTTGACTTTGAAGGATGGTAACTTAAAAAATTACTATCATCCCGCAAAACTTCATGATTCTTCAAGTATGTGAGATTTATTCTTGCAAAATGTCATGTTTCTATAGCAACCACTCTTTCACCAGTAAGTCTGATACTGCACTTTAGACCCTCAGATCCCAAAATTGTTAACTTTGCAGATCCCTTGTGATCGAATTTCGGTTACTTATGTTACCTTTTCATTACACAACAAGCTGCTATCATCAACATTACAAATACAAGGCACATCAGGCCTATAGCCACTCCTAGCAGAGTTATGATCGTGTCTCTGTCTTTCTCTGAAATAAGAAATATAAAACAGAAAAAATCATTACATATAGCTTGCATTATCGACAATTCTATCAACTATACTCCATTTTACAAAGACGCCCAAACAGCCCTTCACACCCTCCCTCATTAGTTTGACTTTTTTCCTTCTTGCCTCCGTGCCCTCTCTCCTGAAATCTGCGCACTCAAATCATCATACCCCGAGGCATGTTCATTCACATAAGCAAACAATATCCTTCGTCAATGAATTACTAGAGGAATTTTTTGGTGTGGTCTATTTTACCCAGTCAATGTAGAAAACCTCGGGGGAAAAAATCCCATATTTGGGCTGTATGGGTATTTGCCGCCGCCATGACTCTTGAACAGGGTATGAGAGTGACCCTTTACCCCTGAAAGAGGGGTACATTTTACGTCACTTTGACTCTGGAACAAGGTTTTCCCTCACCCCTGCATAATCCCTGAATTCTGAATTTCTGAATTCAAACTTATGTGCGAAAATTCGGAGCCCTCTCGTATTCACAGGGCCAGCCAGCGAAACAGGATCCCTGTTTGTATAATTGTTATCTGGTAAAGATGGAGGTGTGTGTGGCCAGCGGTGAACACCTCGAACTCCGGATCTGGAGGTCCGGGGTCCAAGCCTCGCTGGTCGCGTTGTTTACTTTATACAAGGAAATTTACTCCACTTTGTCTCTCTTCACCCAGGTGTATAAATGGGTACTGGCGACATACTGCTGGGGGGTAACCCTGTGATGGACCAGCATCCAGTCAAGGAGGGAGTAGCAATACTCTTAGTTATGAACCGGGATAGGCTCAGCCGTTTGGGGTTTTACATTTTATCTGGAAAAGAGTCGCAAATTCATCCCTGTTTGGCTGGAAAACTTGGCGGAAAACCCTCAGAGTAAATGTAAGGGAGTAACCCACCCACTCATCCCTGGATAAAAATCTCAATGTCATAAAGGAATTGAACAACAAACAACGCACTTGTATCATCAGACGTTTGTTGAACATTAGTCTCGTCGCCCGGGCTCACAGAAGATGACACATTTGGTGATGTTTGTTGAGTTGATGATGGTGCTATAAGCTGTGATGAAGATGGCCCGGCTGCATTTGACACTGACGGCGACGAAGACTGTGACACCGAGAGTGACATCGACTGTGAAGCAGATGCTGACACCGATGCTGACATTGACTGTGACATTGATGGCGACATCGATGTTGAGGGAGACTCAGAATTAGACATCGAAGGTGACACAGCTGAAACAAAAAAAGTAAGTGATGTTTTTACTTTCATTCAAGTTACGATTTGAATTGCCACAGAGCAGACGAAGAACGGCTCAGAAACCTATCCGATATTTGACGATCCACTTTCAAGATCGGTACAGCGCACTGGTTTACCAAGACCGCGCGGCTTCCATCATTGCAAAACTTTATTACCACAGTGGTACCATTGATCATAACCATAACAAAATTCTCTAATCTAATTGGTAATCAGCAGCCCTTATTTCAGCATTTATAGAAGACATCACTGTTTGCAAATTTGTTTTTGTTATTGAAATTCGTAACGAACGAAACTAATTTGTTACAAGAACCAATACGCTTCTGGGTGGCATATTAATACCGATAGATGATGCCAGAGTGAGTACTGCTTTCTGGCAGCGTGATCGACAGAACGCGTCATGCCCAAATAAGTAAGCTGTAGTACACTCCAACGCGCGTGCGCTCTTGAATGGCTTTCTTTAATAGAAGCTTTGTTATAGCTATCGTGATTGATTGTTAACAGAACTTCGTGTCCTCTAATAGGATCTGTAAAATGGAATACCCTTAGGTACGATGGTCGAGTTTTGTTCATCACTAGTATGTTCACAAAAACAGTTGAGTAGCTTAGAGGGTCTAACGAAGCACAAGATGCGAGATTGGATATCCATGCATGTGGGTTCTGGGAGAACCAACGATCGGCAGTCTTTGATGTCAGGGCCTGCCACCCAAATGCCAAATCGTATAAGGATTTCGAACCGTAACAACCGTATGCATGACAACGAGGAAAAAACGTCTGCATTTAAGAAGAGTTGTCGACATTGAGCACGGGACATTTAGGCCCTTAGTGTTTACAACAACTGGCGGTATGGGAAAAGAATTCCTCATGTATAACAGTCGACTAGCGGAGACGATTGCCATCAAGAAAACCAAACAATATGCTAAAACCATGTCATGGATCAGAAGCAAAATCCTCTTTTGCATTATTAAGATCAACATTCAATTGTTTTAGAGGATCTAGGGCAAAAATGAGAGCTCAGTACAACACTTGAAATGCGGGTCTATGGCTTTACTTAGTAGTAACTTTGAATGACCGCGCAATGTTCAGGGAGCTGGACGACACAGCCTTCTGCATCCTCTTCAGAACATCACTAGATCGCACACCAAAGATCTTATTGTTCTCGACATTTAGTTCCTTGGACCACCCCCTAAAACGTCCATGGTGACGTTCAATTGTACGATCTTATAGTCTGGGTACTGTTTGGTAAGCTCCCACTGCAGAGGTTGGTACTTCTCTGGCTGTCTTCTCAGAATATTTCTTCGCGCGATTTTCCAACCACAGACAGCTCAGCCAACACCCTCATCGGCTTGTGGTCTCCAAATCACGTGTCCTCTCTGCTGGTTTGAACGAAAGTGTGCTATGCGACCGTAAACTGGAACATCCCAGTATGCTTGAGCGTCTTCTGACTCGTACAACGCTTTGGGCTCCACCTGTGAGTACCATGGAGGAACAGAGTCGGCGAGCTTGAGGTCCCTCAGCATTGCAAAGAACAGCACCTTTAGTGAAGCATTATGCCTGTCCATGTACTTAGTCTGTGTCAGCGATGAACATCTCGCCAAAATGTTAGCAAGGCTTACTGGTACCTTACCGCACATTCCACACATGGTGCTTATTTGGTCTGAAGTATACCGGTCTTATAAGCTGTGTAAACTTGGGTTGATAAGAGCTGCTCATAAAGTTCCATAACCCGTGCGATAGTTTGAATAGGAGTGAACGCCCCCTCACTCAACCAGGCGAAACTGCTGTGTTCACTCAGCTAGTCGTCTTCCCTGCTGATCCACAGCAGACGTCCTTGCCATCTCTGGTCTTCCACCTTCTCCTCAAGCTTCTCTTCTACAGCTTTCTTAAGATGTTGTCTCACCTGATGTCTACTGATCCTCTCCTCGGGGGCTTGCTGCGAGCTACATGATGGATCAGGAGTAGCCAAATTGAGACTAGTTCCCAGTCCCTCCGCAAACTTGTGTACGTCTTTCGCAAGGGAGCAGAATCCCTTCTCGCCTGCTTTCTCTTCAAATATCAACACACTTCTCATCATTGGGTCAGGATTCTCATACAGCTTCATAGCCGCCTCGATCTTATTGAAATTTGTACTCTTTTTCTACAGACCTTTGTCCAAAACCCCCCTTTTCTCTTGGAAGAAACAGCACTGCAGCGGAGCGAAGAGGGTTCCCATCAGTCTCACTTGTCAACTTCCTTGTCTCTCTATCAATGATTTGTGGTTCTCCCAATGGCCAATGTTGGGTCCACATGGGGTACGTCAAGACAGGCAAGGCGAACTGGTTTGTTGCCTTGACGCGGTTGGCATCGGACATGGGGCTTGTCCAGATTATTGAGAGTCTTTGCAAGTACGTCTTTGCTGCAACTGTAAGTGCTAACTTTTCGTCTTGCATCACGGACTCTCTCACGCCCAGGAAAACTATTTTTATTATTTTATAATTATTTTGCTGACAGTTCGATGGACCTATAACTACAGGAGCTTATGAAAGACACGGTATATTTCTTTCGCTGGCGTACTTACCAGGTGTAGGTGCAGGCGCATCATCATCCGTAATCGTTATTTGTATAACTGATGGTTGTCCGATGGTCAAACCAGGGCTGGGTGAAACGATGGAGAAAGTGATATTAAATTGCTCAGGTCCTTCGATCAAATCATCGTCGATTATTACGATAGTTATACCTCTTACTGTTTCACCGGGTTGAAAATTCAAAATCTCGCCTGTCACCGGCGGTACATAGTCTCCGAAGACATTGGCTGACCCATCCAACAAATTTATCCTGGAATAAAAAAAATCCTTGTTTGTAAAATATGAATACGAAATAAGGATCTAATTCTCACATTTTTGCCACCAACCACACACACACACATACACACACACACACACACGCGCCCATTCAAACCTTTCAGCTTCAAAGTTCATATCCCCGGAAACGATGACGGAAACATTTGGTGCTTACCATTTGACAGAAAAATCCGGTTGGGTTGTCGAAAGCATAATGGTAAGCGATTTACCAGTGTACGGTAGAATTGCCACATCCGTTACGGTTTGAATCCAAAGAACGGGAGAATTTGTGTAGCGCGAGTCTAGAACCGAGAAGGAACCGAGAAATGGTAAATAGTAAGCGACATTCCATTTGGTTTGTACCAACCGGAATGAAAGGACTACCTCAAAACGTACTCCTCAATTTTTGGTTGGAATTTCCGAAAAGTGACCTTGCCATTTACTTTCCACCCGAAATTCCCGACATTATCTGTCAAATGGTAAGCACCCACGGTAATTATTTTTTCCCTTCGATTCCTCGAAACCAAAAATCCTTCTAAATTTGTCCGAATTTGTCGGATTATCCGTCTAGATGGGTATTGGTATAAATCTGAGCAATGGTGAACAATTGCGCATTTTTTGTAATTAAAAGATCGCTCCAACCTTCGTAACCTGACTTCGTATTCCAAAAGCTATATTTCAACCACTAGGTTAAACATTAGTCCTGTGTTATGTAGGTGGAATTTTTTTCCCAGCAGCGGGCGCTCTCATTGGTTACTTTGAGGTCCATGACATCTAAAAATGAAACTGTTTCCCGCCAAAATCGCTGAGCGGGTAACATTGCAAAATTTATGACGTCAGAGGGTTACAGTGCACTTTTACCCGCGAATGTTGACCAACGACCGCCTCTCAGCGAGGTTCAATGAATTTCCAGCTTCAAAAGTTTCAGCTATATAACAAATCACAATGTTTCGACACATTGAGATTCTCGGGAAACAAAGTCAACTGTTTCCCTCGGGACCAGTCATAGTATTTATTATGTGTCTTACGATCACAAAGCCTAGCGATATTTTCCAGCCACAGGAAATTCTTCCTTTTACCTGAAAAATCCTCTCTCGTATATGCTTTCTCTCATCGGAGAGAAGTTTAAATTACCAGAATTGTTAACGATGATAGTGATGGCAATAAATTTGATAAGAATAATTCCAGGAGCCCATGACTAGTTCTTAAGACGGTATCCATTAGGACATTGAGTAATTTCAATTTTCAGTGGACAAAAACCTTGTACCAGAGTAATTTAAACAATATCGCATTTTCTTTTTACATTTTTTAAGAGCTAAAAAAATTTTTTCATGAGAGCCAGAGAAAATAAATGTCAAATCTTACAAAACGACATATTACACACGAAATTTTCAGAAATTAACTTGTCTTTTCACAATTCTTGTGAAATTTGACGTTTAAATTATTCTGGTACAAGGTCTTTGTCCACTGAAAATAAAAATTACTCAATTTCCTGATGGATTCCGTCTTAATATTTTCAAAGCTTGGCGACTAGATTATTGCTTGACGTTGCTGATAACGGCGGTTATTTCATGCTGAAAATGATAATAGTACTGAAGGCGATGCCGATAATGGTGGTGGGAATGTTGATGCAGCCGATGATGAAATTGATGATTTCATTGATAATGCTGTTGCTACTGTTGTGTTGTTGTTGATTTCGAGAATGAAAGTGATTGGTTAATTTGGTATGATGACGATAGTGATGATGATGACATTGTTGTCATGGTTATTGATGATTGTAGTGTCGTATCATGCGTTATGGCAATTGACTAGACGTTGCGAAATAGTATTTAAGGAGCTGAAGTTGTTGTTAGTTGTGTGCATATAACCGGTGATGATGATGATGATGATGATGATGATGATATACGATGATGAAGATGATGGAGATAACGATGATAATGATCACGGTGATTATGATAATGATAATGAAGAGATAATAATGAAGATTTTGATGATGATGATGATAGTAAACATCAACTTCGGTAGACTTTTTTCTACTTCAAGGTTCAAGAAAATCTCAAATGATAAGTAATATTCTCACCTCAGAGTAGCATTGAAGCTCGTATTACCAGTGTTAACGACATTAACGACAACAGATCCTTGATCTTCATCAACCGATATTGCTGCTTGTTCGAAATGGAATACAGCGTCTAAAAAAATATTGTATCCATTGGCGCATCAAACTACCCCAATCATAGCTTGATTATTGTTGGCGTATTGTTTTACTATTTAATTAATACTATACAAACAAAGTTAAAAATCATAACAACTGAATAAACTGAGCAATAGAGGTTTTGATCAACCGAAATTCACATATCGAATTCACAGTAATTTTATATTACAACATTTATTTCAATAAGTCACGATTGACGTCGTCAATTTAGACGCGGTAAATGTGAAAACCACTTCCTGGTAGAAGGGTCACCCTTCCAGCCGAGTCAACGTCGATAAAACGTGAAATTAGGCAATTCACGTCGTAGTCATGCAGTAACAGCAAAGAAATGTACAAAAAAGCGTGAGGCACGTGCAAAATTGTTGTTTTGCAAACCTTAACCTACAGCTTTTTTGGGCATGACTTTCTCGTTGCCGTCGCCGTAGTGACACCGTTATTTCTTTGCCGTGCACGAATACTACGTGAAACTTCCTAATTTCACGTTTTATGGAGGACGGGAACACAAGGCAACGATTTTCTTTTTCTTTTTGCTAACTTAGTTATAGTCCTTTAGAAATCAACTCTTGAAAAAAAATGCCAACATTTGACAAGTTAAAAGAGTTGCAATAAGAGTGATGAAGTTTGAAGCAGCGCGAATTGGGTGACATTTTCGATGCCGTTGCCCACTTCGTTACCACAGATACCGTCACTGCAAAACTTGAAAGAATTCCTTTGGTGACCACCCCTTTACACCCAATATTTTTTTTTTGCCTGCCCCACTCCTTGCCCTATTTTTTGGCATGGCCCTCCTCAAATCCCACCGGCCCCCCCCCCCCCCCCCCCCCCCCCCCCCCCCTCTTAAAGACGAGTCCCCCCAAAAAAAAACTCAAAATTTTCCCCTCTTACAAAAGGGCTCGGCGCGTATTTTTTCCTGCTTCCCTCTTTTTCCCGATCTTAACCCCCAAGCATTTATTTAAAAGCGCCTCTTTAACCACTGCGCGTTTTCCCCCCGCCCCCCCCCCCCCCCCCCCCTCCACCCCCACCTGATAAGGAACGGTCCCCTAGAATAAATGCTACAATATTTCCCTCATATCAAAGGGTCTGTCGCGTGATTTTTACGTGCGTACCGTATTCTCTCGATTAAACGCCCAAGAGCTTATTTCAAAATCGCCAGTTTAGACCAGGCGTTTTTTCGAGGCCGGCGTTTAATAGAGAAAATACGCAACGTGCGTAAAATTTACGTTCACAAATAAAATAGAGACAATGCACAGAAGGTCGCAAGTAAGCGTAAAAGTTGATCTTCGCTCAACTCAGTCTCGTTTATGCTCAACAGCGTTTTATCTTACCTCTATCTTATTATAACGTGATTAAAATTTGCGCGCGCGCAAATTTAAAACACACGTAAAAATTGCGCGGCAATGGGAATCCACTCTAAGGCTTAGTACAATCAGTATACGGTTGGAATAAAACGATTAACGCTTTTTGATTTTAAAACTTTGCCTAATTTCCTGACTCGAGGTCGGGGTCGCCTTTCGTTGTTCCTTTGACTCATTTTATGTTTTAGTTAGAGGAAAACAACACCAAGCGAGAGAAAGGAAACAAAAGGACAATGGCACCGACCAAATGTTCCCGACAGAGTCAATTGAAAGGCATGAAAAGAATCACATTCCTGAGCTGCCAAATTTTGCATATCATCTCCAACTGAAGGCTTGCTTGCCTCCTAGCCATGTTTGCTTCTACACGTGAATGTTAAAGTATCCTAGTCTAAAACTGAAAAAGACTTTAGGGGATAGTGCTTTTTCATCTGCTGCCCCTAATTTATGTAACAATCTGCCCCTTCACATCCGTCTTGAGGACAATTTTGAACGTTTTAAATCTTTACTTAAAACGCATCTTTTAAGACTAGCTTTTGATATGTAATTTTTAACCTACTATGTAATATATTTAGTGTTTTTTTATCTTTATTTAATTTTTAGCGTTGTTTGTTCTTAGCCTTAATTATTTTGCTCATTTTAGCTTTTATTTTCTTTTAACATTTACGTGTTGTCACGCGCTTTTGATCATATTTGCATGGAAAAGGCGCGTTATAGATTTATAATTATTATTATTATTATTATTATTATTATTATTATTATTATTATTATTATTAATCTGTTCACCGCAAACATTATGCCTCAACAGATCTTGGTTGAAGAAAAGTTTTGATTTTTCCAGTACTTTGCACTTTCTAATAGCGAGTGACTAACCCGGCCAAAGTTAGGTGAAGTCCCGGGGGGAGCACTTGGGTATTTTTTGGGTGGGTATGTGCCGCCCGGGACTGCAAATTGGCACCCCGTTCTAAAAAATATTTCCCCTAAAATTGATACCCCGTTCTAGAAATGGGCCAATTTTTTACACCCCCTTCTAGAATTCACCCTTAAACTGATACCCCGTTCTAGAAATGGGCCAATTGTTTATACTCCGTTCTAGAAAGTTTGTTAATTGAAATAGCCCTGTTTTTTAAAAAAGATATTTCTTTATTTGTTCGACTTATACATCAAATAAATGCTTCTTCATAATGAGCAACAATTTTAAGCAGAAGATAAAGCCGCGATCCACAATTTTTGATACCCCGTTCTAGAAAACGCCTCTGAAATGGATACCCCGTTCTAAATCAGGAGCTTCAAAATCACCACCCCGTTGGGCGGCACATACCCGTATAGGTAATGCATGGGAGTACCCCCCGGGGGGTGAAGTCTAGATTCGCGTGAATTCCAAACGGTACTTTGAACCATACTCTAAGTGATTCGTAGTTGGATACAGAATGACAGAGCTAAAATAATTTTTGTTTTATTTGTTCCTTGGTGTGCTGTTGTTACTAGGTCAATGTTTTTGTCTTCACTGGACAACAAGTGAAATCCCTTTTTCCTTTTTTTAAAATTATTGTCGTTTAATTATCATTTATCTTATCGCCTCTTCTCGTGAAAAGCAGAATCACACGCGCTCACGTTCATCCCTCCCAGCTTTGAAAATTAAGTGTATATAATCGTAGGATGACTATTTCATCGAAGGGTTCAGCAAGGCAGGCTATAACGTTGCTAAGCCTCCTTCAGTATTCGTGATAGTGGGAGTTTAATTTATTTTTTGAAACTAATAAGCGAAACAGCTCAGTGACCATGAGTCATCATTAAAAATTATATATAATATCAATAATGACTCTTCTGAAAATTGTTCGGAGAAGAACTCAGAAAAAAAACGCCATACTGCACACGTTTAGACTGGCTCACACGCAAGAGTTCTTAGTCAAAAATGAGTAATCTTGTCGGAATTCTTGCAAAAGAATTATTCAAATTCCTACTCACTGAAGTATTCAAAATTGTTAACATTTGCACAATGATATTGTGCACAGTTAAAAACACAGTTGAAGTTAAACAGGCTTACCTCTTTTACATTCGGCACGTACAAGTGACACCTACTGATAATTCTTTTAATCCGCAAGCTGTTTTCAAATTGACGTACCTTAATTTGTCAATTCACTACTGCGTTTGATTAATCGACTGGTAAATCAGAAGCTAAGAGAGCATTTTCCTTACTTACAGAATTGGAAATTATGAGCAGCTATATGCATTCATGAATTATAGAGGACTATAGATCTTTTAGTGTTAACTTGAAATAACAACTATTTCACTGCTTACCTTCTGCAAAGCACAAATAAATAACAAACACCTGAATCAGAAGTAACTTCAATGAAGAATACTTTCCCACTTGCATTGTGAAATTTATCTGTAGTACTCAACTCAGTTCAGTCCTGACATGAAACTGGGAAGCTGACTGCGGTTTTGTTCATTGTTATTTTAATTTTGTTTATCGTTAGAGAGAAAATAACAATAGAAAACTAAACAAAAGCACAGTGGACACCGACCCCGACCCCTACCCAAGGTCGAAACTTCGTGACTGTTGCGATTTGACAGCCGCGCGCTCGTCCGTGACACCGCTTTATGATAGATTGATGGACTTCACCTAGGTAACACACGATAGTTCTGCTTTCCATTCGTGATCTTGCTTTAAGACGCCTTTGCACCGAGAGCAAATCAAAGGTCGCCAATCCCTCAACTGAATCTCTGTACTTTCCAGTCTGAAGGCATCGACAGAACGTTGGTTTGAACTCCGCGCTACCATTGAGAGATAGCAACACGGCCTGAGACTCAAATTACTCCGACTACTCGGGGTAGGAGACAGGGGACGTATTAAGTGGGCGGGGAAATAAAACACCTGAATAAGAAGTAACTTCAATGAAGAGTTCGAATATTTTCCTTCTTGCATTGCGAAATTAATCTGTAGTACTCAACCCAGTTCAGCCCTGATATGAAGCTGAAAAACGTACTGCGGTACAATTTTATAGTCGCCAGGTTAGTGTCGGTATAAAACTCGATTGGAGGTAAAAAAATAAATGTAACTTGTAAAAAATATGTAACTTTTTAATATTTATTCGAATACAACCCTAAAAGAGACCTTTACGGCTACATATAATGGTGTTTTGCCCAGAACACGCTAAGGGAGACCAAAATCTGAAATTTACACCCCTAAGCGAGATGACGAGCATTGCCGCCCCTCTCATATGGGAGTCCTCCCCCCCGCCCCCCCCCCCCCCCCCCCCCCCCCCCCCCCCCCCCCCCTCACCGCCCCCGCC